CCTCCACTGTAGATGTGGGGAGGGGACTGACCTTGGCCCAACTTCTCTCGCTCTGGCCCTGCCTGCCCCCACCAGGTTTCCCACTGGTTGCTGGGGAGGCACCCAGGATACTGCCCTTGGGCCTTCCTGTCCCCTCATTTCCAGAGCAAGTAGGGGCTGGGCTTGTTTTCTCTCAGCGGAGACAGCTGCCAGCCATAATCTTGGGTGTGGCCCTACTACTGCTATAATATCACTGTCACCTGGGACGCATGTGAAAAATGTGAAGGCCCAGGCCTGTCCCAGGAATCTGTTTTTAACAGGCTTCCCAGGTGGGAGTTCGGCAGCCAGCCTAGAACGTCATTCCAAATAAAACAGTTTTTCAAGTAGCTCATAGCCCACCAGTAACTCCTGAGATCAGTTTATTAGACAGAAACCAGCACATTTTTAAAAACTTCATAGAAAATATCAGAGAACACTGCGCTGCAGGAGGGTAAAGTACTGTTTTGTGAAATTTTGCCATACACACAAGCTTTTGTGTGTGCTGGGCTATGAAAATGTCAGACGTCCCTACAGTGGGTTGCAGATACAGTTTTAACCACTGACCTTGGGTGCAAGATCTGATGATCTGACCAAAAGCAGCATCTCTGGGCCCTTGTGCAGGCTGCGCTCGACACACTCTCCCAAAGCTTCTGGCCTCACCTCTGCTCTCCCCGTGCCCTAGGTCCCTTGCCTGAGCCCTTCACCAACGGGGAGATACAGAAGGTAAGGGTCATCCTCTAACTGCTGCTCTGGCTCCCAACCCCATGGGGGGAGGGAGCTGTCAGGCGGTAGTGTGGTTAAGACAGCCGCTGGCTCAGGCTGAAACCTCGGGGCCAGGTTCCAGCTCCCTTCTGAGCTCCAAGATATAGAACAACGTACCCCTTGCCCCTGCTGAGGGCCAAGGCTGTCACACTGCAGAGGCCTGGCCGGGCCCCTCTACAGCCCGCCATCCTGGGTGATGGGCCCCCACCTCCAACTCCCCACCATACAGAAGAGGCCATTCTTCCCCCCAAGAACAGAGCTCTAGTGTCTGGCTGTGCACTGCCAGCCCTGCTACTTCCAGTCTGGGTTGGAAGAACAAAGCCCCTCCTCCCCTGGCAGAAGGGAAGGGGGGTGAGGCTAGGGAAGAGATGGCAGGCCAGGTGCCAGCCAGATCCACGGAGGGACCCAGGAAGGGGCTGAGCGCCAAGCTGACGCCCCAGCCAAAGCCTTCACTCCTAAACAGGCCCGCTTAGTCAAGCCGAGAAGCAGGAGTCTGCAGGGTCTCCTTTTTACTCAGTGGTTTGTACCAGGGTCCCCAAGCCCAATATGAACCTTCTGTCACCCTATTTGTGGGTCTAGAACACTCCATCTATCTTACTCCTTCAAGGCTCTGCTTGGCTGTTTTGGATTTAAAAATAAGAGAGGGCTATAGGTTTCGGGAGCACCATACGTGTCCCCCACACCTTTCAGAGAGGACCTTGGTGTCCCCAGCCTCTAAGTCCATTCGATGAAAGCCACATCAGGGAAAACGTGGAGTGGTTTAGCTAATCCCACCTTGCATCGACTACCCTCCCACCTAGGTAATGGATGGAACCAGGCTGCCCTCTGATCCTTTAAGGAATGTAGCAATGTGACGCTGGAATTTGGGTGGGTGATCAAGGCGTGAGTGGCACTTCTCAGGCTAGGGCTTCCAGCTTTCCTGAGCAGGAGTTTCCTACCCCCTTCCCTGCCAGCCCACACCCCTTTTCTCTGTGCCAGGAGAACAGTGGTGAAACCCTGGGCGAGGCAGCCCTTGAGAGCCCCAGGCCAGTCCTGGCGAGATCCGCCTCAAGCAATACCAGCGAGGAGGTAGGCAGCCTGGCAGGGGTTGGGAATGGGTTATGGGAAGCCGATTCCCAGGCCACCTTGGTTCCTGGCACACCAGCCTGCCTTTGAGGTCACATGCTGAGGCGCATTCTGTTCTTGTGACCTGGCTTCCCCGGGCACAGCCTCAGGGGAGCCGCCTCGTCCAGGCTGAGCACCAGAGCCTTCCAGGCACTGACTCCCAACTCTCTGCCTCCCGTTTCTCTCTATAGTCCAGTTCCCAAGACAGCCCCAAGAAACAGGACTCCACAGAGCCCTCGTCTACCTCCTCCTCGGACCCCATCCTGGACTTCAACATCTCCCTGGCCGTGGCCAAAGAGAGGGCCCACCAGAAGCGCAGCAGCAAGCGGGCCCCACAGATGGACTGGAACAAGAAAAATGAACTCTTCAGCAATCTCTGAGTGCCCATCCACCAGCAGCGCAAGGCTGTGGAAGGGCCCAGCCAGCAGCCCGCCCGTCCTAGCCACCCCAAACCCCACTGCCCACCAATCGATGTTCCAATCAGCACCAGCACCTCCTTCTTGATGAAATCTGATTCTCCTAGATACTTTGGTCTTCCCTTAAGGTGCTTTTCTGTCCTTTCCCAATCAAAAAGCAGACTCTCCCCCTCCTTCTCCCTGAGGGCTTTCTCCTACCAGGTGACCCCTTGCCACCCAGCCTGGGACACCACTGGGACCCACACCAAGCAAGGATCCTGGAGCCAGACTCTCACATGTGAGCACTGGTCCAAAAGTGACCAGGAAACTCATCTCTGCAGCCACTGCTCACAGTGGGCAGGGTGCCCTTCATCCTGAGACTTATGGTTTGGGCATCTTCTACTGATTTTTCTTTTTTTAAGTGTACAGTACCAGAGTTCAGAAGGATTTTTGTTCCCTTCATTTTCCTGGTCATTAACATCTGAGGCATAGCAGCGGCCTCAGCCTTCCATTTTTGTTTCTAGTCCCACTGTTGGAGACCTGGGCAGCATGGGGAGGATTTGGCTGCCCCCTGCCATCCCTGAGCCAGGCACCGCCACTGTAAAGAAACCGCTTCAGAAACCAAGCTCGTTCCTCTGTACTTGTTGAGCCTCTGTGTCTTCCTTTGAAGCTTTGTCCTTCAGCCGCACACCCTCCAGATGGAAAGTAGGAAGTGGTGAAAGTGTGGCCAAATGGCCTCTGGCTGAGGGTAGGAGGGCTGAAGGAAAGACCATCTAAAGGTTCCCTGCACAAGGCAAGGTGACTTTAACGAGAAGGCCTGGATTCTGTAGCTGCTCAGGAACCCTGTAGGGAGTAAGACCTGCTCAGCCCCGGGTGCTTAACTTGGTGTTACTGTGTCAATGTAAGGGCAGGTAGTAAGACTGCTACGGAGAACGTGGGAGGTGATGATCCCACAGGCTGAGGGCTCGGAGGCTCCTCTTATTCCACGAGTGCTACTAGTGTGAAGGTGAGGATGAAGCTGGGTTTGTCTGTTTTTGTTTTTGGTACCGGGAATCGAACTCAGGACCTTGTGCTTGCCAGGCAGGCACTTATGCCGCTGAGCTATATCCCCAGCCCTTGAAGCTGCGTTTGAAGCTAAAGAGTTGGCTACAGGATTCCCAGGAGCAGGCTGAGCTGGCGCCATGTACTTTATCTTGTCTGGCCACTAGCCTGATTGGAGGGCAGTTCTCCAGCACTGGGAGAAAACAGAATGGTCCACTGAGCCCCAGAACATGCTGTGTGACAAAGTGGGATGGAGGGGATTTTCCAAGGGCAAAATGCAGGTCCAAGCCCTGGTCCCTTACACCTCAGACACCCGAGGCCATATCCTAGAAGTCTGCCAGGTGGCCCAGGCTGCAGGGCAGAAGGTCCAGAGCAGTGCTCAGAAGAAAGGGAGGCTGGCCCTGGGCTACCCCCTCTCCACTCAACCAGGGTGACCACTCAGAACCAGGTTCCTGAACTGAGCGGAACAAGTTGGGGAAGAGAGCAACCCTCAGAGTGGAGAGAAGGGCCGGTCTTATCTGGCCATCTGGTACTTTAGGGTTTGGATTCCACTGGCCTTAAATGGAACCATCCAGAACCCTTATCACAGCACTCATCATTCTGTGTCCTGCTCTCTTTACCTGGCCTCCCTTTACCCAGCCCTGGACTGACCCTTTGACCCCTTGTGGAGGGCCCCTCCCCCCTGGATTGCCCCATAGGGCTTAAAGGGCCCCTCCCTACCTCACCTGCTGGGTGGAGAAGCACTGGGGGACCTTTGACTGCTGAGGCTGCAGACAGGGACAGGTAGGTGGCTCAGAGGTAACTCTAGTCGCTAAAGGGCTGGAGCAGGGTGCAAAGGAAACCACAGCAAGTGGACCTTTCACCTTAGATTCATTGTTTAGATTCTACAGAATTTCAGCTGCAATCTGGGAAAAGGGACAGGAGCCGAGGGGCTTCAAGTCACAGCATCTAGAATTGGTTTCCCTCTTGAAGATGCCCCATAAGCTGCCTTCTATGGCTGTGTTTTGAAAACATGCTTTTTTTTTTTTTTTTTTTTGAGACAGGGTTTCGGTATGCAGTTCAGGCTGGCCTCGAACTGGCAATGATCCTCCTGCCTCAGCCTCCCGAGTGCTGGGATTACAGGCATGCGCCACCACTCCCAGCAATGCCTCACCTTTCTTGATGGCCACCCTGGGTGATGAAGTATGAGGGACAGTCAGGAGTTAAGGGTTTCCTGAGGGAACGTGGTGCTACTCTGCTAAGCCTCAGCAGCCTGACCATCCCAAACCTGTGCCTCCACTGCCCCCTCGTGGGAAGGCCAGGTGCAGCGGCCTTTGCAGTAGCCCTAGAGCTGATGTGGGAGAGCTGCAGGGACGAGGCTGCTCCCGCAGATTGGGCTATGGAGTGGCTTTCCTCTTGGAGCCAGCAGCGGAGTAAGAGGCTCGTGAACAGGGTATTCTCCCAGCCTTGAGGACTTTGTAGACAAAACTTATTCCTCTGCATTCAGGGCTGTCTGACTCAAAATGAGGAAGCAGGAGCTAGGGGAGGGGCTGGACCACTCCCTCACTCCCTCACCAGTCCACCTCTCCTGCCTTCCAGGGTCACACTGGCTTCCTGCCGACGACAGAACTGAGATACCCTTCCCAGGATGGGTACTCATACTGAGCTCCCAGTGCCTCACACAGGCCACATGAAAACAAGGAAGCTGGCCACCCAGTGCTTTACTCTCAGCCAGGGTGCTGCCCCCAGGTGGTAGCTCTGGTCCTGCAGAGGAAGGCCTGTCCATGCCCACTTCCACCCTGCCCTTCCCAGTAGATTCTTGCCATGTATCCAGGGGCATCTGAGTCAGTCTGGCCGAGAGGTGAAGAGAAGTCAGGGCGCCAGTCAGGGAGAGGCCAAGGCAAACCCAGCCCAAGTCTGAAGGTCCTTGAAAGGTGACTCCCAGTTTGGACTGGGACCAAAGGGACCACACATTTATCTCCTGCGAAGAGCTCTGGTCCTTGGAGTGGCTAGGCCCCACGCCCAGCTCCTGCAGAGGGGCGGCCAGGGCCTGGCTGTCACTGGTGCTCTGCTGACCCGTCTCTGTAAGCCTTCTCCTCCACATGGCTGGTCTGAGCCAGAAGCCACTGCCGCTCAGGCTCACTCACTGTCAGTCTAAGTGTCACTTCCTGGAAGACGCTGCTCAGGGCCACCTGCATGAGCCAGAGGCCAGGGCCACTAAGTTACTCACGAGTTCCAACACCACCAGCCCCACCACCCAGACCCAGGCCTGCCCCAACCTCCTCACCTGCTCAAAGTGAAGTTTCTGGAACATCCGGATACTGGGTTCATTTCCTTGCCCAATTTTTGCCTCAAACTTCGTCAGACCTAGCTTGGTCACTCCTCCAGACATAACGGGGAGAGGGGCAGGCAGCAGGATGAAGCTCCCATACTTCCTGTCCCCACTTGCAGGGGAGGCACCTGTCACCCGCCTCCCTCCCTCGGGGACCTAGCCCTTCCTCCCCACCATGGTCCACTCAGGCCATCTTACCATAGGACATCATCAGGAGAGCAGCCTCCGTGCCGAAGCCCTGGCCCCTGCAGCTGGGCTCTAGGACAAAGAGCAACACAGTGGCTGACACCAGTGTGTGACACCCCGTGGGGTTGGTGCTACTGTTACACACTGCGCACGAGGAAAAGAGGCACTCAGATGTGAAACAACACACCCTTGGGTAAATTTGCTGCTTGCAACCCAGGAATCTGACTCCAAAGCTGACCCCTTCACCTTAGTACACTACCATGAAGGAATCAGGGGCCCCTGGGGAAAGCTGAGGAACCAGGTATGCAGAAACAGGAGGGGTTCCTCTAGTAGGAGAACACTCTGGAAATTGTTTTTCAAGAGTCCCCATCTACCTCAAGGATAGGGCAGACTGAATTTAAAAGTCTACACTGAAGCATAAGGAAGAAAGTGATGATCCCAGGGGTGACCACCAGGCTGAAGGGAGCGCTGGAGGGCAACCTGCCCCAGCCAAGTGCTGGTCTCCCACTGAGCTCTCCGAGGTTATAGCTCAGAGGTCTGAAGGCCAGGAAGGAAGGGAGGCTCAGCCATACGGAACAAACCTGCAATCATGACCTCAATCTCCCCCAAAGTGGGGTCTTCCGGATCCGTGAGGAAGAGGTTCACATCGCCCACCATGCAGCTCTCTTCAGCAGGGCCTAGCCGGGCCTGCCACTTCTCTGCGTCCAGCACAATGAAGGTGCACTCTAAGGGAGGAGATGACAGTCACCACTCCAGTTACCACCCCCAGAGAAGAGAGGTTAGAGGGTGTTTGTGCCCAAGGCAGAAATTACAGAAAACCCGTCTGCCTAGCTGGAGAAAAGGGACCCAGAGCTTCAGGCAGCTCATTACAAAGCTCTAAAACTGTCCTAAATCTAAAGGAAAAACATGGCCTTCTCCGAATAACAACTGTACCCAAAAAGAGCAGAAGACCCAAAGGAGGATGATTACTACATTAGGCTTGTCCCAACCTTGTGATCCACCAGCCTCAGCCTCCCAGGTAGCTGGTTTTACACTGGCATGTGCCACTGCACCTAGTTTCCAAGCTTTTCATAAAGCTCTCGTGGCCCCAGAAGGGCTAGGAGTAGGGCTGGAGAAAGGTGGGAATCTGGAGACTTCCTCTGACCCAGCCCACCCAGGGCCAGGGCCAGGGGCCTTGGCTCCTCACTGTCATCGTCCTCCTGCCAGCTGCACTGCATCGCATACTCCTGCTCCAGGGTCAATGGCTCTGAGGCTGTCAAACGCTGCAGTTCCTCTGATTTCATCCACTCATGGTACCTGCAGGGACAGAGGGCTGGCCTTAGACATGCAGGACTGATTTGGAAGCACGGGGCTTATGCTTTATAAGAGGAGGAAGTGTCTGTAATCCCAGCTACTCAGTAGACTGAAGCAGGACAGTACAGGTTCAAGCACAGCTGGGGCAGCCATCGACTTCATGAGACCTTGCCCCAAAGTAAAAAACTATGAATGCCAAAAGGCTGGAGATGTAGCTGAGTGCAAAGGCCCTGGATTCAATCTCCACTACAAAAAAAAGTATATAACAGGGAGGAGACCCACAGGGTCATAGAAGACCCAAAGAGGGTTATGGATGTTCCTAGGACGGAAGGTCACCGAACAAGACCCCTAAGCAGGCCAGGCACACAAAAGAACAGCACGAAGGAAATGTTCTATCTGCTCACCTTCCCAACCTGGCTCAGAGGTACATTCAGAGCAGTCTGAAACCAAACATTCCCCAGATTCCTGAGAGGGAGTGTATGGCAAGCCAACCTCATCAATGAAGGCCTGAAAAACCCCCACAAAGGCAGGACAGCAGGGACTCCCGAAGGAAAATTATAAGTACAGGACACTTCCATAATTATCACTTGCACAGTTACATTTGCCAACTGCTCCTACAAAAGTTCGTTCTGTGACTCAGTTCTAGCCTTTCAAGCAGTAGACATCAAAACAGTGCAGTAGGATTGTGGTGCTACAAGCCTGTAATCCCAACACTTAGGAGGCTGAGGCAGGAGGACTGCTACAAGTTCCAGGCTAGCCTGGGCTCCATGAGTTCAAGATAAGCTTGGACTACCTTCAAGACTGCGTCTCAAAAAAAAAAATCAGACTGAGCCTGAGCCACCCCCACCAAAAAGGTTACGTTCTAACCAGGTCCTACTCCTCTGTGTCCCAAGCCCAGCCCACCAAAATGCCAGCCTACCATTCTTCTCTCATGGACCCCACACTAAACTCATTGGAAAAATGGCACTGCTACCCATCAGGAGTCAGTTCAAAGGACCCACCTCTTGAGAAACAAAGATACAGGTATAGTAGGTGAAGCCATCTATTACTTTAAGGCCAATGTATTCTTCAAAAACTATGAAGTTAAGAATGAAGCTGACAGGACTTTGATATATATAACTCTCTACATTTCTGAAAACACCAGGGTCTGGGATGTAGCTCAGCAGCACAGTGCCTGCCTGGTAAGCACAAGGCCGAGAGTTTGATTCCTGGTCCAAAAAAAAGGAAAGAAAGAAAAAGAGGAGAAGGAAAAAAAGAAAAGAAAGGAAGAAAGAAAGAAAGAGAAAAAGGAAGAAAAAAAGAGAAACTCTGAAAGAAAGAGAAAGAAAGAAAAAAGAGAAACTCCAATGTGCAATTCCAAAAGCCAAGCAGAGGGGCTGGGGATTTAACTCAGCAGCACAGCGCCTGCCTGAAAAGTGCAAGGTCATGAGTTTGATTCCTGGTACCGGAGGAAAACCAAAAAAAAAGAAATGTAGACACTGGAAATCACTAATTTTCCCAATCCTGGAGAGCCTGGTTTCCCACTAAATGCCATTTATGCCAAACCTGGAAACAAACAGGAAGATGAGGTGAGACAGGTAGAGCCCACCCGCAGCAGCTAAGGCACAAGACTGGACTGAGATTTGTGAAAAAGGTTCTGCCCCTCAGAATGATAAACTCAGCAAGTGGTGGATCTGCTTTGTGAAAACTCAGTTCATGAACAAGAGCTGGTCAGGACCTGGGCAGGGAAGAGCCCCTGACGGCCACCGCCTCCAGAGCCCGGGCAGAGTTTTACAGAATGATGTGCACACCCCTTTTCCTTTATTTCATAAAGATTTATACAGAAGCAAAAAGGGAGCCTGTCTATCTGATAAGCTCTTGATCAACACTTTAGTAATGGGAGGAGGAAGTAGATTATACAAGAGTGACTCGAAAATTTCTTCAGTATCAAGCTGGTGCTTAATAATAATTAAGTTCTAATAACAACAAAGACTAACGTCCATCAACTGAGGATTTTAGGACAAATAAATGTTAAGTCTCCAAGAACTGGGTATATTTGCCGACACCAGGGAAAGTCAGTTTACAACTAGGCAAGAATACCATTTCTTTTTCTTCCTTACATGCAAGAATACCATTTCATTTCTTTCTTAGTTGACAAAATAATTCCGTACTGAAAAGTGAAAAGGCAGTTGAGAAAAGGAAAGGGAAAAACAAGGAAATGGTCAACTTCTTCCAGGGAAGTTGCAGCCCTTCACTTCAGCCTCATTCCCCCTCGCTCCTGTTTTTTTGAGACAGGGTCTCGCTATGCAGTTCAGGCTGGCCTTGAGCTCACTCTGTAGCCCAGGCTGGTCTCGAACTGGCAGCGATCCTCCTGCCTCAGCCTCCTGAGTGCTGGGATTACAGGCGTGCGCCACCACACCCAGCTTCATTTTTCCTCTATGCAATTACTTCTCACAACCAGTGTTTCTTCTTCTCAAGGCAAACAGCCCTGAGATTGGGGATCAGGAAGGCTCCTGGCTGTGCCATGGACAGCTGACTCCCTCAACCTCATGTGCACTACAGGTGTACCCCAAGTCAGGTGACCAGTTACCTAGGTACGTGCTCTGAGGTGTAGGGTACCAGGACCACCTTCTTCCCCAGCAACATAGTGTTCTGATTCAACCTCATGGTAGCGCCTGCAGGTAGGGGTCAGCAAAGACTGCAGGACGCTGCGTTTTCCTCACTTAGGATGGGCGCCGGTTCTCTTGCTGGGGTGGAGCTAAATTGACAGAAGGGCCTCTCGACCTTTTTTCCTTCCAAACACTTCCGAGAAAGCGCACTCAAAACTCTTGCAAGAAAGGAAGCTGAGCTGAATGAGTATAATTAAGCAATCCTTGGCTCGCATCTCAAAGGGGCCAAGCCCGGGCTGCCATTCCTTCCGTCCCTTCGGTCTACCCTCTAGAACTTCGATTCATCAAACCCGCGCACTAAAAGTTTATCCTCAGTGCGCCTATCGCTTGCCCCAGTTCCAGGATTTCAGCCCAGAATCAACTGTCAGCCCTGCGCTAAACCTATTTCTAACACCTCGCTCAGGCGTCCACGACACCCACGTCTGGCCCCCTCTCCTCCCCGCCCCTAATCCCAGCCTCACCAGCGCCCTCCCCTTTGGATGGCGCTACAAGCTCCTCTCCTCGACCCTCCAACCACCCAGGCCCCGGAACTGACAAGCTCACACCCATCCCTCGCCGAGGAAAGCGTCCCCAGGCGAACCTGTCACCCGCCTCTCCCAGCTACCCATGTTTCCCCGCCAGGCCGGCGGCAGCGCACTTCCGCATGCGCGCACCTTCCCACTTCCGCCACGCAGACGGCAGCCCGTAGGCCCAACTCCGGCCCCGCCTCCGCGAAGGACCCAATCACCGTGCCGCGCCCCGCCCGAGGCGCGCGCCGGGAAGGTGGGCTCAAGAGCCAGCGCATGCGCCCTATGGGCGCTGGTGTGAGACAGCTGGCGCCGGCAGTGGCAGAGGCTACAGGCAGCGGCCCGGCGATCGGGAGTTATCTGTGCTGCAGGTGCCGTGCCGGGCCGGGTGAAACGGTGGGATGGGATGGACTGGGGTGGCGGACTAGGAGCTCCCCCAGCAGGGAGAACGAAGGAGAGACTTGCATAGAGGCTTTTGAGAAGAAAGGCAGATTTAAGAGTGAGAAATCCAAAAGCAGGGCAGAAGGCAGATGGGGGCCGCGGAGTAGAGGCCCCGTTCAAAAGAAGCTTTGGGACAAAGAGTTGGATTGGAGAGCGACCCAGGAAGCCCCAGATCCCTGCCATGAGCGGCGAGGCACAGTTCCATGGGGTGCCCTGTGTGGTGGTGAGCTCACAGTTCCTGGAATTAAGTGGGCATAAGCACTCAGAGTGTGTAAAGGGAGCTGTAGCGGTGGGTGAGACTTAGTAGCTTCAAAAGCTCCTTAAGTCACTTAAGGATCCGAACAGCATCCATGCACAGAGCTGTGCCGTGAACAGATAGGGCCTGTTAAATGAAACTGCTGGGTTTCCATCGTCCTGGGAGACCCTTCCCTCTAGGCTGAGTCTTGAGGCCCAAAGTGTGTTATTAAAGTGCAAGAGGGCTGGGGATATAGCTCAGCGGCCCAAGCGCCTGCCTGGCAAGCACAAGGTCCTGAGTTCGATTCTCGGCACCAAAAAATAAATAAACAAAGTGCAGGAGATGTCATGGGGGTGACTGCAAATCTCCCATCCCCGTCTTGGTCTGCCAGAAAGTTGAAGTCTACTCTTTTGCCTTAGGGACCTGCAACGACCACCTCCCCTGCACAGAAGCAACCTCTGCTGACCACCCTCCCTCGCTTTTTGGAGATGGCAGGTGAAATCACAGAGACTGGAGAACTCTATTCTCCCTATGTGAGTTTTCCTTCCAGAATCTGTTTTGTTGAGAACAGCGCTTTTGGCCTCTAGAGAAACTTACTAGTTCCAGTGAATGTTACAAGCGGTTCTGCTGGTTTAAGAAGACCCTGGTGAAGACAGGGTGGGGGCTGCATATAGCAGGAGCCCCACTGCCTCTGTCATAGCTCAGAATCCTGAATCAAGTTTATTCCCTTTGTAGAGGCTTACCATACAGTGTCAAACCCAACAAAATTAACTGGCTAACGCTTTACAGTATTTATCTCAGGGCTACCAACACTTCCATATGGTGCTGCTCTTCAGATGGACCGTGATTGACAATTGTTGACGGGGTTTTATTCAGCTCAACAATTTGAACTTGCTGTGGTCTGCAGCTGACTTGTGCATTGCACAACTTTTATGGTCTTGGATGTCGAAAGAGGCAGAGACTTCAAACAGCAGTTAGTTGGCGTCTAAAATTAGGACAATTAGAATGATTGATTTCTCTCCGTCTTGAGTCTCTTCGGCCCCTCACTCCCCGCACACACAGCCAGTTTATCTTCCCTGTGTCATGTCCACTGGTCATGGTTGTTACATCACAGAACCTCTTGCCTGGATAAGTAGCTGGCAGGTAATCATTTAAATAATCAGACAGTTGACACTTGTTGCTACCACGTAGCCCAGGGAAAAGCAGCATTTCTATAAGTAACCAGAGCCTTCTATCTAGAATTTACCTGCCTTAAGCTGCAGCCCAGCTTTGCACACACCTTTCTACCCTGGGAACCTCTAGGAACCCTAGCATCGCAGACACTAGCATTGTGTTGTGACGGGTAAGGAAGCGTGTCTGTGAATAGCCGAAAGAAACCTTCCTCACTTCAGGTCTTCCTGTTAGGCCTGTACTATTGGCATGCAGCCATAAAAGAGCCTCCTTCACCTGCGTAGTTTACGAGGGGGAATTTTTTGTGAACCCTGGAATGGAATGAACAGTGTCCCTCTCATATGTGGAATTGGGTAATAGTTGCCAGCCTCCTGTGTCAGCAGTGAAATGGCCATGCCTGAAAGTCCCCTAGTTCTTGCTTTTTCTTATAATGTCTATAAATTTAGAGTGGAGGAAGTGAGTCATTTCTGTAACTGAGTTTCAGAAGAGTTTGAGATGCCCCAGACTGGCCTTAAACTAACTCACTGTGTAGCCCAGGCTTGCCTCAAATTTGTGATCCTCCTGCCTCGGCCTCCTGAATGCTGGGATTACATGTACATGCTCCCATGCCCAATCTGCCGCTTTTTTCTTTTGCATCCATTTCCTGTATGTTTTATTTTGTTCAGTGTCTTTCTCTGAGGGCCAGCTCTGCACAGTTGTCATAAACCGGTGCTATTTCCTCTTATCCTCCTGACAAAGACAGATGTAGGGGAAAGATGGGCAGTGGTGGGACAAGGTAGCGGTAACCAGGGAGAAGTGGGCGGGGTTTTCAGGGAAGAAAACATCTCTCCACCATTCTGGGAGAATTAATCTTGATTCCCTATAAGACAAAAAGAAGGTTATCATCCACGGATCCCAAATCAACTATAGAACCGACTGACTTGGGGGCTGGGGATTTAGCTCAGCGGCAAAGCGCCTGCCTGGCAAGCGCAAGGTCGTGAGTTCGGTTCCCGGTACCGGAAAAAAAAAAAAAAAAAAAAAAAAAAAAAAAAAGAACCGACTGACTGCCAAAGCTGCTGAGATACCTGTAGGCCTTGCTTGGTGTAGGCAGAACCCTGCCCCAGCTGCCTAGGGAGACTAAGATACTGGGCACATAGTTTATAAAAGTATATCAGCTCATGATCATTCCCAAGACAAGCCTCTTGTTAGCTCTGTATTGCCCCATTCCTTTCCAAGTGACTTGAGTTGTGAGTTCTTTTCCAATTCAGGGGTGGATGTTTGCTTTAGCTTGATTTAATTCTGGTTGTTTGTTTGTTTGTTTGAGACAGGGTCTTGCTAAGTAGCCCAGGCTAGCCTCGAACTCGTGTCAATCCTCCTGCCTTAGCTTCCCAAGTGCTGGGATTACAGGCATGTGCCACCGCTCCCTGCAGCTAGCAGGTTCTTGCTGAAGATCTTTGCTCTTGCTTTTGAAGGACAGAGTCTTGGTTTCAGTCTTAAATCCAATCAGCTCTTGCACGTCATTGCTGCCTGTGTCCCTTGACAGTTTTCAGAGGGGAAGCCATTGAAAGGCATGGGTGACCACTGCCTCCTGCAGGTCATGGGGGATGCTGTGGGTTGGGGCTGAGGCAGATGCCATGCTGTGTGCTAAGGTCTCCCGCACACAGGTCCCTGTGAGCAATCACGGGAGTGGGCCTGTGCCTCCTCCAGTTCAGCCACTGAGAAGGGAACTAGAGGAGGCTTGGTTTTACGTGCACATGTGGGCCTTGCCTTTGGAGACTGGCAGGGTCCTATTCCTCTGCTTTATGGCCTCCTCCCCAGGAGGCTGGCCGTAGAGAATTGTCTCTTGTGCCCTTCCTCTTCCTCCTGCCCCACAACTCCTCCTGACTTAGCCTGCGGCCCAGCGCAGAGTTGCTTCTTGCCTGCATTTGTCTGCTCCTTGTGATTGGTCCTTGCTGATTACCTTCACTGAAGGTAAAAAGGATGAATGTTCGCTAGGACTGCTGAGGCCCTGGGAAGGCAGGGAAGTCCTGCTTTGTCTTACAGGATTCCAGGGCCCCGCTAGGGGCACAGCACCTCCTTTGGAACTAAAATATAGTAACTGTCCTCATTGCTTTCCTCATGGGTAGGACACAATGCCGGACACCCACAGCTGAAATGAGGAGAGGATTATTTGGGTTCACAGTTCATGGAGGTTTCAATCCACAGCCACATGGCTCTAAGGCAAGCAGTATGGCGGAAGAGAATTGTTTATGGCAGGCAGGAAGCAGACAGGGAGATGAGAGGAGGAGGGAGGGGGAGAGACCCTTCCAGGCCACACCCTCCGTGACCCTCCTTGAGCAGTTTCACCTCCCGACATCACATTTAACCACAAACCCACCAGTGGACTTCACCACTGATGACTGTCACACCCCCATGATCCAGTCACTTCCTAGGAGCTGCACCTATGGGCTCTTGAGGCTTTGCGGGGAACATCTAGATATAAACCGTAATGGTAACAAGACAACCACAACTACCCATTTCTGTTAACTGCCTAATTCACTCCTGTCTAAAGTTGTGAATGAAAGTGCTTTATTTATTTTGTTGTTGTTGTTCCAGGAATCAAACTCAGGACCTTGCCAGGCACTCATGCCACTGAGCTATTTCCCTGGTCCCTGTCTAACGTTGTGAACGCTTCTGTTTTCACTGGGATTTATTTGAAGTCTCCGTTGGGTACATGATGCATCATTACATCTCTGTCTCCAGCAGCAGTTTCTCACTAAAGAGAACCAAGCTGTAAGAAGTGCAGATGTTAGGTGATCAGGTTGTGTCTGTTCTGTTAGTGCCCTGCTTAAAAGCCTCCAAAACATCAAACTCCTATCTCCTATAAAAGGGCTGCACAACAGAGGCATGGCGGTGCACAGCTCTAATCCCAACACTCAGGAGGCTGAGGCAGGATGATTGCAAGTTTGAGGCCAGGCTGGGCTCCATAGTGAGTTCAA